AAAAAAAGGAAAGAATATTAATCTACAACCCAGTGTGTCTGAAGATTTTAATTTTTTAATATTTTTATTGTTCAAAACACACACACACACACACACACACATATATATATATATATATATATATATATATATATATATATATATATATATTGTTATTTGAATGTATATATGTCTCTATACTGTGTATTTAGTCAGCAATCCTACTTTAATGCATGTTTCATTAAAGATGACAAAGAATTGACTGCGACTAAGCGTTTTATTTAATTTTTCTTGTGTTTGAAAAAGAGTTTTCTTTTTGGGGCACAGATTGTGTAGGAAATGTCCAAACGTTCTATAATTACTTACGCTTTCGGCTATACTTTTAGGCATTATCAAGGATGAGTTTATTTTTCCATTTTAATAGTGTGTATGGTTTGTTTGTATATTTCTAGAGTTATATGGATGCTTTATTTTCCGAAAACTGTTAACGCTTCATTAAGTTCCGTTAGCGAAGTGATTTCGCCATTAATCACATTAACATTGCTATTTAATTCTTCATATAAATTGTTCCTTTTTTCTTATATATATATATATATATATATATATATATATATATATATATATATATTCTATTAACAAACAGTTTGATAAATTAATATGTGTTTTTAGATATTAGGGATTGTTTTCGGACTAGTGTTATTGGTGCAATTCTTGACGTTATGATGCAAGGGTTAATTGAAGACATCCCTGACATTATGACCTGGGAAATCGTTGCTGCAATTTGGTCTTCCCGGGCGTGTTACCATCCGAGGGTGAGGAGGGGGTCGAGACTTTCCAATGCAAACCATCAACATGAAGAGGATCTGAGCCGTACTCTCAGGTGGTTCACTCTCACCCAGCCGCATCCACCGCCCACACTCCTCTGGGACCCAACCCCCGCCCGCCGCTTATGACTCTTTCTGAATAAGCTGAACCTTCCCAGCCACCTCCGCCACCGACATCACAGGGGAGAAAGGGAACAAAAAATAAAGTGTGGGTTCACGATCACGATGATTGGATTCGATAGTGGTGACGATATATATATATATATATATATATATATATATATATATATATATATATATTCAAAGGTAATTTTCATTATTATTTTTTTTATTAAAGTTAACGTTTAATAGGGTTGACTGGAGATATGTTCACGTGTACAGTAAATGTAATGGCTTTGTTCTCTTCATAATTAACCCACATCTAGTTACAATAAATTTGTCTAATGCATTACTTTGTGTTATAACTGCTATGTGAATAATGACGTGTTAGTATTATTAAGAGTAACTTTATTTGTTCGTCGACAGTATAGGAAAGTAAGCTATTGTTCGACGACAGTATAAGTATGGAATCCATTGTTAGTAACAGTGCGTTTGTTGCTACTGAATGATATTAGATCTAATGTGCGACATAATGACATAATAAGATTAGTATACTTTTGCACATAGAATAATTTATTTCGACAATTTCGCATCTGAAAAGATATTTACTCTACTTTTGATATTAAAGAAGAGTCTTTTATCTTATAATTAAAAAATGTAATGCAATTCCTAGTTCAATGTAAAGAAAACTTGAAACGCCAAAAAAGAAAAAGGTCTACCATAGATATCTAAAAGTCTTTGAAATTGTGACACGATGCTTTGTACGCAACAGTGAATTGATTGATTCGGATTTTTTTATGGTTTTTCAACCATTTGCATGTTATTTAAAGCCAAAAATATTTTTAGATTGCAATATTTTTTTGTTGATATTATATTGATATAAGTCCTACTAACTAATCCATAGCTGGGGAGAATAGCTATATTCACAGCAAAGGCATTTACGCTCAAGTAAATATAATCAACCCGACTGGAATTAGAACTCTGGTCTCCGATTTCCAAATAAGAACCGTTATGCATTATAAACCTCCACAGATTCCTGTTTATAGCACCTGGTATCCCCAAGAGGTTGCCCATCTAGCTACTGATCAATTCGATGTTGCTTTTATATATATATATATATATATATATATATATATATATATATATATATATATATATATATATATATATATATATATATATATATATATATATATATATATATATATATAGATATAGGCTATGTCTACATATTCGTAATAGATATTCTCCCTATTTACGGACGAGATTCTTATTATCCTTATAAAAGGTAAAAAAGAAAATTACCATGTTCGAAGTACTCAGGAACGAAATGGATATACATCAACATAGTAATTTTCTTTCTTTATTCGATGATTTGGATTTAGAGGCTTATGGTGAAGATAATGGTTAATCCTAGACTTGATTAGGTTAATACTGTAACAGAACGGGAAAAATTCCTTATGCAACTGAATTTATAAACGGGGATCTACAAAGCAGAGGTTTGGGGGGAAATTTATATTGTTGCCCAAACCATTCTCTTTAAATTCACTAAATATTTGTTTTTTGTAATGATTGATTCATGGTTGGCTATAATGGGCGTGGCATGGTTGGTCTTAGCCGTGTTGTTTCGAACTGGAGGCACAAAAGAATGAAGTTCGGCTGTACACTTTCCATGGAAGCAGCGATAGAGTACTGAGAGGCTTTAAGCGT